ACTGGCCTACTCCAGGATCTCGGTAACAGTCATTGGCTGGGAGTCCTCCATAGAGGGGATGGCCTTGCAGCAGATGCTGCAGAGGATTCAAAGCCAGTAAGTCTAGGCTATATTAGACGCTTACAGTCCCTACTCATTTTGGAAATCTGATCAGAAAACATTAAGTAAACGATAAACAATGCAGCAATATTGCCTTGGCCTGTCAACAGAGGCTTGCCGTCTCAAATGAGGCAGGTATGGGGAGAAGGCACATCAACATCTGACTCAGTACTTCCTGCTTTGAACAATGCTCTGTGGGAGTTTCTGGACATTCAGCCTGTTACTTAACCTTACGCAGGGCGGAAGATTCTATTGACCTGTTTTGACTCTTCCCCTTCCTTCTCCTCCCATAGCCAAGCCTTGTTTTGTTATCTATCATCTCATTGTTTTTTTTCCCAAGTACCTTTACTTGTTTCCTTCCTATATCCAATCATCAAATTGTCAAATAGCACAGCTGACATACCCTTTAAAAATCTCTCTAGCTGGGAATGCCACTAAATCAAAAGAAAAAACATAAACATGCACAACATGTAGAATGCTAGCATGCTTGATGAACAGTAGATAATTCTGAATAGAGGTAAAGTGATTTTACATTATATAAAATAGTGGTCTTCAAACTGTGATACAAAGTGACAGATTAACACAATTTCCAGATGCTTAGACATCTCAATATTTTCTAAACTTAACTGCCTAGCAATGTGCCTATGGTGAAAAACATCTATTCTTTGCACCTCCTATTCCATGACTGGTATCCCACTTTTTAGAAGGAAAAAAGGCATACACTCTGAATGTCGTATGTTACCTGCAGGTATGGCAACCTTGGAAGCATCAAAAATGGGCAAACTGAAATACTGTGAAACTTTTAAATCCATGTCCAATATCGTGTCCCATGAGGGAAAAAAAAATCCTTTAAATCAAGACTAGTTTTTTCAGACAAGGTCTAGTTGAATAGTCCAAACTGACATGAACTTCATAATGTAGTCCAGGTTCTTCCTGAACTACAGAAAGCCCCCTGCTTCCACTGTCTGGGAATTAGGATTGCAGGTGCCATAACCATGCCAAGCTCAAGAGCAATTTTAAAGAACACAATTAGTAAAATATTAGTCTTTTAAAAAATATCCCGGGATCTCTGTGAGTTCAAGGGTAGCCTGGTCTACATATTGAGTTCCAGGCAGCTGGGGCTACAGGGAGACCCTGTCTCAAAAATAGAGCTAACCCATGATCTCTGACATGGAGCAAGCGCTAGGGAATGAGCACCAGAGCATGGCAGCACGTAGTGCTCTGCTGTGTTTTATGTTTAACTTTGACTTGTCTCATTAAATCCACCTTTTCTCCAATTTAGGCAAAGGTTATATAGCAAAAGATGACATTTGTCAAATGAGTGGTTCAGAAGACAGGAGTAGCTGTGCTTCCAGACCTTGTTCATGTCACCTTCGAGGCAAGTTATATAACACTTCCAGATCCTGGTTTTGCTCCCTAAAAGGCAGCAAGAGACACAGACATGGGAAGCCTATCCTTGTAACTATAGCATCACTGTTATTAATGGAAGTATGACTTATTAGTGCCATAATCTTTGTAGAAGCTGCATTTTCTTTCCTTCCTTCCCTCCCTTCCTCTTTCACTCTTTCTCATTTAAGATTTATTCATATTGTTTTCATCAATTTCGTAATGAAAGATAACTTAATCCAAAAGAAAATCTAACACTTTGATTCCAGGGAATCAAAAAATTAAACTAAAAATTAGTGATTTTTATTATTTTTATATAGCTATAGTAGATACATTTTATTCGGGTGTATTTATAATTGTGCTGGATAGCTTCAGTGTCAACTTGCCACACCTGGGTTGAGGGAGCCTCAATTGGAATTGCTTCCATTGGACCGGCCTGTGGCCATGTCTGTGGGGCATTTTCTTGATTGTTGAGTGATGTGGGAGGGCCCATCCCACCGTGGGTAGTGCCACCCCTGGGCAGGTGGGCCTGGGTTGGATAAGAGCAAGCTGAGCAGGGGCCAGGCGAGCAAGCCAGTAAGCAGAGTTCCTCCATGGCCTGTGCTCCAGCTCCTGTCTCCAGGTTCCTGCCCTAAGTCCTACCTTGGGCTCCCTGATGAACTGCGACCCGGGAGATGTAAGCTGAATAAACCCTTTCCTCCTCAAGTTGGTATTGGTCAGAGTACTTTGTCACAGCAATGAAAAACAAACTTAAGACAATAATGGAAGGTCATATCCTTCAAAACTGTAAATCACATTGGGATCAATTTCTGTATAGGCTGGAAATATAGTTTCAAAATGAAATAGTCACATAAAGTGGTTGACTTTCAGTGTTTGGATATTTTATAAATAAAGGGTGATAGATATCAAACAGTAGCATTCAACTAGATACACTTAAATGGGTGATATAAAAATCAATGACTTAGTAAAGAATGCTACTATATAAAATGTGCCAGAAATTATGTCCTTTATAATTCTCTAAATTTTGGATATGAACCTAAATGTCACCTTACAATGGTAGAAAGGGATCTTTAATTTTTCTAAAACATTTTTGGGCAATTCAGAGCAAAAAAAAATGACTTGGAAAATAGGGGTTTAATAAAAATCCTGCCACTTAATTTTCATAATAAATCGCTCATTCTCAACATTCACTGAGTGGGCATTCATAATATGGCAGGTGGGCAAGGTATGATGAGGTAGAAAATACTGGAGGCAGATCATGAAAATAAGAACTTAGCTTCTCCAGCCGGGTTGTTTCCTCTTTGGGAATGGAAAGTCATGGCTCATTTGGAGCTGCAGGTCAACCATACTGCCACTCTAGGTTCAATATTGAATGTCACTGGAGAGTTTGTGATTCTTTCCTTTCTTGTTCAAATACTTTAAAGTTCTTTTCTAAAGATACTGAAACAGTGGGGAGTGAAGAAAAGAAAAACATTAACTTTTCTGCTTTTCCTGTTCCATTAAAAGGAACAAGGTTGCTGGGTGTGATAGAGTGTGTTTGTAATCCCAGCGCTTGGGAGCAAAGGCAGGCAGATTTCTGTGAGATCAAAGTCAAGGTGGTCTACATTAGGAGCTCAGGGTCAGTTGGTGCTACAGAAAGAGGAAGGAAGGAAGGAAGGAAGGGAGGGAGGGAGGGAGGGAGGGAGGGAGGTAAGGAAGCTGTTCTAATCTTATGGAATGTTTATGGAATGAATAATGAAGAAAATCAGCTGAAACCAGATCCACTAGGGATGATTTTCAGGAGTTACCAGGATCTCCTAAATACCGTGGTTTGGAAAATGGCATACAGGGGTATTCTATTTACTGGACATTCTTTTTTAAAATTTATTTTAATTAATTTATGTATGAGAGTTTTGCCTGCATGTATGTAAATGCGCCTGTACATTCAATACCCATGGAAGCCAGAAGAGGACGTCAGATCCCCTGGAATTTAAGTCACAGTCAGTTCTTAGCCATCATGTGGATTCTGGTCTTCTGCAAGAGCACTCAGTACCCTTGACTGCTGAGTTATCTCTCCAGCCACTCATCTCGCATTCTTAATCTAAAGTCCATTTAAAAAAAAAAAAAATCCATGGGGCCGGAAAGATGGCTCAGCGGTTGAGAACACTAGTTGTTCTTGCAGAAGACTCGCGTTCAAATCCCAGCACCCACATGGCAGCTAACTGTAACTCCAGTTCCAGGGGATCGGACAGCTCTTCTGTACTCCTCAGGCCTTGCACGACACGGGTGCCCTTACCCACAGGCAGGCAATGCATGCATACACATTAAAAAAAAAAAAATCCAAGGGGCCCATAAACTTGTATAGGAGGGGGAAAAAAACTATTCATCTCTTAAATTGTTTGTTTTTAATTATGAATGTAGGCAATGACCAGCATGAGGCTACCGGATACTGCTGCTTTGTCACCAGTAAAAACTAGTTATCTGTGTAGTTGTTACAGATACGTTCAAATAACATTATTTATGCTTGCTTCCCAATTTAGAAATTAGTTTATTAGACCACGCAAAAAGCATGCATGTAATTTACTTCTGTATGTAAAGCTATTGTAAACAACAAAAAATTGAGTTTTTATAACTGTTTTCAACACACTTTATTTCGTTGGTAGACCTATAGGTGCCATTTTATTCTATCTTAAAGACTGCTCTGGGATGAGGTCTCATAAACTTGTCAAAGGGGCAAGTTAAGATTTCCCTGGGAAGTACAGGGAAAGTCAGCTCATTCAGGGACCACAGCACAAGCACTCAGCCATTGATCGCTTGACATATGAATTGGGAAAACTGCAAATTATGGATCGATAATTGTGAGTCGAGCCTTAAGGAGCAAAGAGGAACTTCAATGAAGAAAACGCAGGTATTTTTCGGAAATCCCTGATGTCTAGAGTAAGGCCTGAAGAGAGGAGGGGCCGTTTCGGTCCGGTGCTTTGTTACAGGATACACAGCTGACAGAAGAGCCACCAACCCACTTCCTGTGGATCAACTGCTGTCTCTCCCACCCTGCCCCTCCACCCCTCACCCCGCCAGAAAGCGGGGACACAAAACCCCACCGCTACATCTACTTAATCTCAGAATTGGAGATTAGGCCAACGTCAGGGGAGAGGCGTGAGCCTTCCCTCCATCAGCCCCCGGGCGCCAGGGTCCTCCGCAGTCTCGCGCGAGCTCAGAAACCGGCATTTGCCGGGCCGCAGGAGTCCAGCCACCCCTAGCAGGCGGCCCGCTCCTTTCCCGGCTAGAGGCCGTGGGTGACAGCTCCTCACGCCAAGTCTCACGATCCCAAGTGCCGGCCCTTTAAAACGCTGGGTTCCGGCACTGAGCCCTCCAGAAAACAGCGCAGACTCCGCCCCCTCCACTGCAGCCTGGGCAACACTGGCCTAGCGCCTCGGAGCCGCGACGTTACCTTACGTAGCAGCGCGTGATTGGCTGTCTGGCTGAGGCGGGTCTGGATTGGCTGTCGGCTACGAGGCCCCGCCCCTTCTCCCTCACCTCCGGCCCCGGGTCTCCCGGTGTCCTCGCTCCGCTTGTCCGCGCGCAGCCTGGCAGTTTGCCTCTTCCTCCTCTGTCCTCCAGCCCGCGTCCATGGCCACCGCCGCAACCGAGGAGCCTTTCCCTTTCCACGGTCTCCTGCCGAAGAAAGAGACCGGGGCCGCCTCGTTCCTCTGCCGCTACCCGGAGTATGACGGGCGCGGGGTGCTCATCGCGGTCCTGGACACCGGGGTGGACCCGGGGGCTCCAGGCATGCAGGTGAGGCGGCCCTCGAGGGCCGGGACCTCGGCAGGCCAAAGCCGCGCTGTGCGGCCAGGCGGGGACCGAGGTGGACAGCGCCGTCGCCGCGGGGACCCGGGAAGGTGACGGCCGGGCCGCGTTCCCGCTGCACACAAAAGCAGCGTGTTCGGGCGTCTGTCCGGGGCCGGGCCGCGGGGAAGCCAGGGTAGTGTGCGGACCCGGCCAGGCCCGACACCTTCAGATCCCGGAGGAGGGCCGGTCGTTGGTCCCTGCCTGGTCTCCCCGATGACAATGTTCCGTTTTTTTAATCCTGGGAGGAGTGGGAAGGAAGCAGATAGGGCAGCAGACCTGACAGCACTAAATTGTTAATGCTGTGGTTCAGAGATTTGGTTTTGGCAAGACCAGCAAAGCTGGATTTCCAAAAGATAACTCGTTGCACTTCCGGAATGGTTTCTTCTGATACTTTCGTTTCTTCTATTTTTAAGTGATCCGCAGTGTATTTGTTTAGGGACATTGAAATCTCCTGGTTTAGTCTTACTTTTACATAAGGCAGAATCAATTTTGCTTCTTTGGGGTGAATTTTTCTGGCCTTATCAAAATACGCCCCCCCCCCTTTTTTAAAGCCTCAAAACGTAAGACAACACAACGTTCATTATATTTTTCAAAACTTATTTTCCTGTATGCGAGTAAAAGTCTTTAGCGTGGGGGTGCTTACTGAAATGGGATGTGAAAAAAATGTCTCTGGGTAGAAAGCATTTTGTTTTTAAACTTGAACGTTTATCTTTAACTTTTTACTGAAATCCGCTAATAAATGGATTCTAACCGTTGAACAAGATCTGTCTACCAGCGTCCTTCATCTGTACCTTAGCCCTGTTTTTCGCTAAAGAGAAATGCTTAATTCTAGCCCTTGGTGAGCCACCGTCTCTGGATCTTCTATTGTGTGTCTGATAAGTGAGGTAACATTTTGGAGGTGGGAAAGTAGTGCAGGGGGTGGCGAGTAGGGAGCCTGTGTGGTCACTCTACAGAACCCTGAGGAGCCCCTCTCTTACAGGTGCCCCTCTTACAGACCTTTCTGTATCACACCTAGTACTGGTCCTGCCTGGCAGAGACTGCTGATTAGGAGAGCAGTGTTGAGTTCGGTCTAACTACGTTTGTTATTGTATTTATAATAATTGAGGCTTAGAGCGTGGTAACGAGCATCACCACACTGGACTTTATTATAGAACGGAAGTGCTTTCCATTGTGCTGTGCTGTGTTTACTTTTTGTAGGGCAAGTGGGAGGAGAACAGCCCCAGTAAAGTAGTTCACTAGTTCTTTTGTCAGGATAATAAGAGGAACAGAAAAGTTTGAAGTAGTGCTGCTCAGTGGATGTTTGTAGAATTTCCAGACTTTTTTCTCCACATCTGCTTATTAAATCATTCTGTTTCTGTAAAGTACCAATTTTCACCACAGTACTGCTATGAAAATTGAGACTTAATTACATGTGCCTTATTAAAATGCTGAAGAAAAGTGTTAAGTGCTAATTTTTAAAAGTACTAAATAAACACTAACTGCCTAGTAGGGGGAGTTTATGCTGGGTCTTTACTCATCAGTTAGCTGAAAGGAAACATGTATGTTTGATATTTGCATATAATGACAAATATTCAAGCAACAAAATATTGAAACTAAATGAAAACATAAGGTCTTCTAATTTTAATTCTCAGATATTGACCTAAACACCATTAGTTGAAAGAAATTAAAGAAGCTTACAAATAGGAGTGACTTTTCAATTGTTTTTTTCTCTTACCTTTGCCATTTATTTTGTAGCTCTGTGTATACATCATTAAGGCAAGAAGACAAATAGAAATAAAAAGAATGAAGTAGGAGGAAGGAGGCTGACCTGGCCATTAGGATGTCAAATGGGATCTAAGTAAAAAAACTAGATGCACAAGTGAGAACTTTCGAGAATGCAATCAGTTATCTCCTTCTTTGGTAACTCTCTCTCTCTCTCTCTCTCTCTCTCTTATTGAGACAGTGTTTCCCTGTAGCTCCAGCTGGCCTAGAACTCACTATGTAAACCAGGCTGGCCTCCAACTCATAGAGATCTACCTGCCTCTGTCTCCCGGGGGAGTGCTGGGACTAAAGGCATGCGCCACCACGCCCGTCTGGGCCAAGTTCTCTTTTGTCACAGCTTCTAGGCTTGTTAAAAGTAGAGGGAGGAGCAGAGTGTGATGGCACATTGCCTGTATGCAGGTAGCATGAGAAGAAGAATAATTGCATAAATGATTAGCAAACATTGAAGTACCTGGCAGGTGCCTATAATTTGATCACATAATAAAATCCTGCAAACTGTGACTGTCAGGAGATGGAGAAGTTGGGATGAGGGGAGGACGCTGAGAGCTTAGACCAGTCAGATTTCATAAACAAGATAAAACTTGGTAAATACACGCACAGGTCTCTTGCCACTGATCTTGCTTACCGTTCACCCATGCTTCACATTTCCAGGCTTTCCATTGAAAACCTTCTATTACTCCTATGTTCAAAATAAACTTAGTTTGGGATCCTAATTCCTTCTGAGTAAAACTCCAAAATTTTAAACTGAATTACAAGGCCTTTCAGGTTCCACTTCTAGTCTCAGTGTCCCCTAAGTGTAGCCTCAGTTCCTACCATTCACCCTGTGTTTCTCCCTTGAACTTTTGCTTTGCCTCTTTATTACTTGTCCTTTCTCAACACATGGTTTTTCATGTGGTGTTTAATTTGCTTGCAAGCTTCCTAAAGTCACCTGCAAATTCCTGGTTAATCCTTTTAAAACTACTAGGTCTTAACCATATTACCTCTGAGGAAATTGTTGATTTAATTCAGCCTCTTACTGATATTTAGCCCTGTTGTTAGGGTCTGTAGCTTTAAAGAGCAGTAAGGTCCGGTCCCTACTAGTACTTATTTCAGATTTTCTCCTTCTTGTTTTCCTGCCAACTTGGAAGTACTCCCTAATAACACCCAGGATATTTCATTTTATTACTTCGGTTTACATTTTTCCTGCTTAAAATTCTTTGACAGCATATATCAAATTTATTTTGTATGAAATCTGCCTGTAACAATAAACATTTTTATTGAATTGAAAAATGTGTTCATGAGTGATGGGGAACATAATTGCCTCTTAGAGGAAAAAATGTTTGGGTAAGGAAGATACAAATTACCCTATAAAAGTCTGCTTTTACAGTCACTAAAATATAACTAATAAGCAATCAAATATATATAATTGGTTACTAATATTCTTACTATCTTTTACTTAGGTTTCATTTCTGTAAGCTGAGCTTTGTGGTCTTACACTCTTTCTGCGATACTTTCCCTTCTATTGTCGTATATTATCTGCACTCATCAGATTTCTTAATAGTAAACTTTCTGAAAGCAAGGACCCTTTTCTTGGAGTCAAAGTTACTAAGTAGTAATCAGTTAAGAAATCTCTTGCTTAAATGAACATTTTTATGATCTCTCTTGACATTTCAAGCAACTTCTTACATTCTCACTTTGTTTCGTTTGGTGAACTTTTTAGGTCTTGTTTAGGTTGGTGTGTAAGCTTACCCCCCTTCTTGTTCTGGTCCCCTCTATGAACATTTAATGAATGCTTCCATCTTTTACCAGTTCTTGTTACATAATGGGTACAGTGGAAAAGTAAGTTACTTAGATCTGTGACACTTAGGGGAAGCTTTGGGCAATTTGTGTTCATTGAGCCGACAGAGTCAGGTAAGCATTCTCAAATCTTCCACCCTGTGACAGAGGGCTTATTATTCTGGCTTTACCCATAATTACTCTATCCAAGCTTTCTAGCCCTCTCCTGTGTGGCACCTCTCCTTCTCAAAGATGAACAATATAGTTTCAGTGTTAGCAGCTCAGTTTCCCTTTTAATCCCAAAACTCTACTGCAAAATTTTCAAATTGTTTTGCCTTTTAAAAAATATTTTCTTTCTAACCCTAAATTTGTTGTCTCTTTAAGATCTCCAATGGAATATCCTTTAATGTTAAGGAAATACATGGATAGGAAAATGCATCTACAAGAAGTTTAAGTTAAAGTATATGCATATGAAGGAGGCAGGGAAATCCTTGTAGGTAAAGCTTAGAGAAATAGAAATAGTACATGGTAAATAAGCCACTAAATCCCATTAGGCTCTTTTTCCTTTGCTCACATACTGATGATGAGGATTTTAATGAAAGAAATCTGTGTCTGACTTTTACGTGGTTTTTTGTTCTTGATTTCAAGTCAATCAAGTGGTTTCCCTCTTGAAGGTGATGATGAAGATAGGCTATTATACATTTTTCAAGTTGCATACTTAGAATGCATTTTAAGATACTATATTATTAATTCATGATCAATGATAGCTAATTTGGTAGATTTTCTTAACATTTTTTCCTGTTTGTTTTTTATTTCATTACTTGAGATACTTAGCCCATCCTTTCAAAATCTGTATGTGATTTAAGTTTTATCATAATTTTATTAGTTTGGTATGAGTTCTTAAGTGACTTTTCTGAATTATGATAGAGTTCAGTCCCTGGAACCCACATGGTGGAGAGAGAGATCCATCTCCTACATGTTGTCCTCTGACCTCCACCAGCATGCTATGGCACACATGCACCCACACACATATGCACAAAATAAAAATAGTTTTTTTTTTCTTTAAGTAGCACAAATATCCAATAAATGAGTGAAAAATTATTCAGTTCAGAGAAAAACAAATCAGTGCTACATTGCGATTTCAGCTCAACCAAGTCAGAATGGTGATCGTCTGAAAAGAACAGACACTGGTGAGGATGAGGGTAAGGGCCGTGAGGAGACTGTTATGCACTGTTGGTAGGAATGTGAATTAGTGGAATCACTGTGGCAATCAGTATTGAGGTTCTTTAAACATACTGAATGCAACAAGTTCCTTTTGCAAAACTATCAGTTATTTTCTCATGAAAATATAGTACTTCTGTTTTCAGTCATATTCTGGATCACATGAAAATAGTAAGGAACCATACCTTAACAAAATTGGGAGTTAATGCTAAATAATGCTGGATCATTGAGTAATTTAAAAATATATATGTATTAGGGGTAGAGAGATGGTTGAGCAGTTAAGAGCACTGGCTGCTCTTGCAGAGGACCGAGGCTCAGTTCCCAGCACTCACATGGCAACTAACAACTGTCTGTAACTCCAGTTTCAGGGAATCCAATGCCTTCAGACATCCACGGGCACTGCATAACACAGGTGTACTTACATACATGAAGCAATACACTCATACACGTAAAATAAACAATAAATAACACTTAAGTATATAGTCATCTATTTATTTATTGAGTACCTTGAAAGCAGTGTTAGGTATTGGGTATATATTGATGAACAGAATGGAGATGATGGTTCTTGTCCTTATGGAGCTTTAAAAAAAAGTCTTAATAGGAGAGATTGATAGTTGTGTTATAAGTTGAATTATGTCCTATGAAGGAAACACTGCAGTATGATAGGGTGATCAGGTTTAGGATGATAAACACATTAAAGAGGTCTTTGGGGAGGTCTTTCTGAAGAAGCAGTGCTCTATGAGAAAACCGAAATGCAGGATTGAATACTGTGGAACAACTGCAGAGGTAGAGGATTCCAGGATGGGTCCTATGCAAAAAGTCACTAGACAGGAAAAGGTTGTTAGCATTTTATAGAATTAGAAATGAGTGTGTTAGAGTTACTAGGTTGTGCAAAGCCTTTTATATTCTGAGTGCTCTATGTATCTGTGGAAGGAAGGTTTTACAGGAAAGGACTGGTAGAACACAGTTTGTCTTAAGAGTGCATTTAATGGGGGCCAGCAGTGGAAGCTGACAGACCCTTAAGGAGGTGATCTATATCCAAGGGCTTCTTAAACATTTTTCACTTGCAACTGACCCCCTTTCACACAAGAAATTTTATTCCAGGACTTTAGGCAAATAAAATAGATACACAAATCTACAGTTACTTGTACTGTTACAATTTACTTTAAAAGACAAAAGTAAATTTACAAATTTAAGCTGGATATGCTTCTTTATCCAACACAGTGCAATCCAAAGATACACAAATTTAATATTTACATGCTGAGGAATGATGATAAGAAAATATTAAGTCTTTGTTTTCTGTAATTAAACCATTCTGTTTCTAAAGAATAGAAAATTTTGTGCAGTAAAAATGCTACAACTCCTAAAATATACTAGGATTGAATCAGCCTGAGGCATTTCAGTAAATGTTCAGTGGTGACATGTGGTGTGATAACATGCGCAATGCAAAATGTGCATGTTATGTGTTCAGAACCGAGGCCACAGTGAAGTTGCACAATGCCTCATGGATGAATGCTGCCAGAAACACCTTAGATTGATTATACATTTAATTTTGAATTAATTTTTGAGCATTGCATGTTCAGAAACCTTTTACAATCACCAAATTTTTGTGGCCCCCACATTGAGTTACACACCTCTATATGGGGTCAGTTGCAGCTCAGTTTAAGAAGTTGATATCCATGTTATGAAAGCAAGATGTGCTAGACATTTGGCAAGTTATGATGGTGGTAATGAAAATAGAAAATTGGCTTTGAACTTCATTTTAGAGGAAGTCCTGCCTAATAGCTTTGATGTAGGACGTAGATAATCAGGCTTCTTGGTTTCTGGCTTGAGCAGTTGGATGCATGGTGACACATGGAAAAGCTTGGGGAAAAATAGATTTAATAGTTACATTTGAACTTGGGACTTGTTAAATTTGAGATGCTTTGTGGTATTCAGTAATGAAATAATACTAAGTATTTTTCTACAGTCAAAACTCAACTTGAGAATTTTTGTTTTAATTAATTAATTAATTAATTAATTAATTTTATTTTTGTCTCCCTGTAACCCCAGCTGGCCTGGAACTCACTATATCATAGACCAGGCTGGCTGCAGTCTCACAGAGATCCACCTGCCTCTGCCTCCCTGGTTCCCTGGTGCTGTGTTTAAAGGTGTGTGCCACTACACCCGACTCCAGGGATTTTCTTAAACGTTACTTTCTTAGCAAGGCCTTCCTTCACCAGCCAAGTTAAAAATGAAGAACCTATCCTACCTGTCTCCCATCTACTGAATTCTTCTCTCAGGATTTTACATCTTTATTTATTAGCTGCTTCCTCTATGATCTAAGAGATCAGGGGGTTGTGTGCTATCACTGCTATATCTGATAACTAAAAGATTATAAATATGTGTTAGATATATGAAACCACTCAAGGGATTATAAGTTGTTTGCAAGATAGAATTTTCTTGTTAGCATTTCTTTGTTAGGTTTTTGGCTTAATTCAGATCAGTTCTTTATTAATGTAAGCAAAGATTTTTATAGGCAGTTTTGTACACATATACACATGAATTTGCACTGCTTTCTTTAAAAACAAAAACTTCTATCTATAATGCACATTTTGTTTGTTTCAATTTTTAGGTTACAACTGATGGAAAACCAAAAATCATCGATATCATTGATACAACAGGAAGTGGTGATGTGAACACTGCTACAGAAGTAGAGCCAAAGGATGGTGAAATTATTGGTCTTTCAGGAAGAGTTCTTAAGGTTGGGGCACTTTCCTTTTTATTTAATGGGTTTTTTTTTCTTTTTGTAATATCTCAAAACACTAATGATTTTAGCTTACACTGGCAAAAAGGTAGCATATTAGTCACTTTTCTGTTGCTGTGGTAAAACACTGACCAAGGGAGCTTACAGAAGGAAAAGTTTATTTAGCTTATAGTTCCAAAGGGGCAAGAATCCTTCGTGTCAGGGAGGCATGGCAGCAGGAGTGGTTGGAATAGAAGCAGAAAGCAGAAGCTCAAATCTTTAAAGCAGGCAGAGGAAGCAGAAAGGGACTAGAGATCTGGCAAGGCTTAAGAACTCTCTAAGCTCACCCCCTGAGTGACATGCTTCCTCCAGCACAACCACATCCTCTAAGACCTCCCAAAACAGCACCAGCAGCTAGGAACAAAATGTCCAAAAACTTGGAACCCATGGGGGACATTCTCATGCAAACCACCACAGGTAGTATTTGCCTATTTCTGCATAATAAATTATTCCCAAACCCCTTGGTTTAAAATGAGGAATAGCTCTTGTATCTCTGTGCATCAGGGTGACTTACCTGGATGCATGCAACTGTAAATTTCCCATGATGTTGTAAACTATTGGCCGTGGCTGTGGTTCCATTCAAAGGCTTGCTAGGGTGTGTGAGGAGGTAGCTGTTAACTACCCTACCTCAAAGAGTTAAGGCTGTGGTTCTTTACCTCATGGCACTTTCTGTAATCTGTTTCATAGCATATTATGGCAGCTTTCTTCCCTCAGAGCAAGTGATGTAAGAGAAAGTACCCAAGGTGAAAGCTATACGTTTTTTTTTTAATATAAAACCTTGCACATGACAGTCCATTTCTTCATTATATTTTCTTCATTGGAAGTTAGTCAGTAAAGCCAGCATATACTTATGGGAGAATATTTCACAACAGCATTCGTACTGTAAGAGGTGGATTATGAGAACCATCTTGGAAGTTACTTGTTCAATAAAGTACTTATAATTGGGATTTTTTTTCCCAATTGAGGTCAACAAATTGGTTTAACTTTTAAATAGAAAGATGGAGAAAATAACTACATTTAAATAACCACAGACAGTTTTGCCTTCATTGTTTCTGTCCCTTCATAATATTCTAAGAGAACCTGACCTTGAAGAAACATTTATGCCTAGTAGCTACCAACTTATATGATTGACTTTGTTTTATTCTGTCCATGGTAGAAAGGTATGGGTATGCTAAGCATAAAACAGAGCTAAAAAACAAGCATAGAACTATTCATGCATTATTAGCTAATGAATTTAGAGAATGACAAAATTGAGAGTAATCAGTTTGTCTTTTACAAGAATAAGCAGATTTCGTTTGCAATGAATTAATTTACTTTAGGAAACTAGATAGCATTCCTAGTGAGCCTTGCAGATTTAGAACTACATAATTATTCTTGTTTATTTTTAGATAGCTGTAATAACTAAAACTTGAAATAAGCCATATGAGTTGATGTTACTAGTGCTCAAAGGTGGAAATTGTATATACCATATCAGTTTTTACTAAATAAGATCAAAACAATTGATAGTTAAGATTGATAGTTTTTCCTTTTCCCAACTTCATGACATATTCTTTTAGCTCTACTCTTTTAAGTGTTTTCAGTTCATCAGTATAGTAAGGGTTTAAAATTTAACCTTGTGACTTTCTTTTCCCCCCTAGAGATAAGAGTTATACAATTTGGGAGTCTTTTAGATAGACCCACTGAACAGGTACTCCAATTGCCTAACCCTGCATCCCTGTTCAGCATGGAAGAAGCCAGAGTGATCTGTGTCCCAATTCCCTATTGGCAATTTGGGTAACCTCTTCAGAGGATGGTGTGATAAGACTAGGAGGTAGGAATTGGCTAGGCAGTTAGGGTAAAAAGACCCAAAGAAAAGCCAGTTTTTTTGGCTAAAACCTGCAATGTCCTTTGGCCTCTTAGCAACATACTCTGTTCCAAAGGCCAAAAATGTTGAAAAAATGTTGGGAGCTTTTATTTAATCCTTAAAAGTTTTTAGGATTACCTCTTCAGAGGGGGTTATGTTAGAGTAGCCAAAAGCCCCATAAAGAAAATAATAATTCAAAGAAGAAGAAGAAGAAAAAAATAAAATAAAATTTAACCTTGTGTTCAGTGTCCACATAGTTTGGAAAGACGAGCATTTCACTAAGACATCTAATAAAAGTTAAGTCCCCTATTCTGTCTCTCCTCTCATAATTTAAAATCAACTAGGTTTAAGTCTTTGGCACATTACATTTTCTTGAAAGTTTTAAACCATGCAAATACTTTTTCTTGCTTTTTTTCTTTCTAGTTTTAGACTGTAAAATTTGTTTATGGAAGAAACTTTCAGGTCCTTTATTTCTGAGGTATGTTTTTACAAACTATGTCATGGATGGCATTGTTGTTTTTGTTCTTTTACCTGGAGTTTCGACTAATTGAACATTGGACTTTGAACTGACCCTCTTGGAATGGTCCTCTAGTTTATGCTTTCTACCTTTTCTTTGCTGCCTAGTATTTTTCTCCTTCCTGAGATAGTTGCCAGACTTTCTCAGCGTTACCTTCTAATCCTTGTATGAATTGTTTTAAATTTTTAATTGCTGAAGTCCTTTCATATTTACTGGGGTGTCTTTTTGTATCTTATATCCAACATTTATCTCTGGAAATATGTTACTGCTTTTTAAAAATTTTTGTTTGCTTCGTGGGTTCTTCCTCTGTTTGCTCATCTTCTTCCTCCTCCTGGTCTGTTATTTTAAGCTTGTATTTCATCTCCTGCATTTTTCTTCTTCACCTTTTGTTCCTCCCCTTCTCTTCTCCCTCTTATTTTCTCTCATTCTATTTTTCACTTTAATATTTTCCTTAAGTAGCTAGCTATATTTGGCTGCCTATTGTTTAGCAGGACGCACACACACACACACCCCACCCTATTTGGAAGCTAGCTCTCCTTATATAGGGTCTTTTGTGGTACATTTCACTGGAAAGAAATGATACTAATTTAGAAGACTCCAAAGTAACCATGAATTAGGTTACTCAGTTACTCCAAAGAGGATATTCTAGTTACTTTTCTTACTGTGATAAACACTATGACCAAAAGCAACTTGGAGAGGAAAGTTCAGGTTATGAATTATAGTCCATTGTCAAAAGCCAGGGCAGGAGGAGCTCAAGACAGAAATTGAAGCAGAGACCATGGAGAACCGCTGTTTACTGGTTTGCTTCCTTCTGGCTTGGTTGCCTACCTTTGTTACATAGCCCAGACCCACCTGCCTAGAGATGGTACTGTGCACAGTGGGCTATGTGCTCTTACATCAATTAGCAATTAAGAAAATTCCCCACAGACAACCCCACAGGCCAATCTGATGGAGGAAATACCTCAGTTAAGATTTCTTCTTCCCAAGTATGCCTAGGTTTGTGTCAAGTTGACAAAAACTAATCAGCAGATGACCTTAGTCTGTTTAACCTGAAGTTAAATAGAAAGAATGGTGGACAACCAGGCCTCTGGCTGCCAGTGTAAGGAACTTACCATAGGCAGGGCCCCAGGGCACCACCCGAAATTGAATATGTCTCTTTGCTTTCATTTGCTGTGCACATTTCTCCATAGAGTTGAAATCTGAATTTCCTGCTGGTTCAGATAGGGAGAGTTGCTGGTGGGTAAAATTTGGACAGCATGTAGATTGGTACTCTGAGAGACTACTTGTTCTTCATACAGACTTTCTACCAATCTTCTGAGTTAAAATTCCTTTCTCCATCCATACGTAAAATGTATGTTTTTCAGTTGTCAGGAAAAAAAAAAATTTAGTCACTGGACTTGTGGCTAATTGGATCTCTTTGGTTCTTTGGGATACCATTTTTAGAAAGTAGCACAAGACAGTCTTCAAGTTTCTTTGACTTAGTCTTGTGTTTAAGTAAACGTCTGTTTTCTATGTCTCCTCCTTTTAAATAGCCCTTTCTTTCAGTGTGTCATTTTTTTTTCCCCCAGTTTAAGATCAGATACTAGCTAATACTTTGAACATTTTGGCAATCCATCATCAATAGATAGTAGTCCCAGTCTTCTGTGGTTTGCTAAAGATATTTGTATTGATTTTTTTAAATCATATTTAGCCCCCCCATATCGCCACTCTTACGCTAAGCTGCACCCCAACTTCATGTCCTCTCTCTATATATTTTTTTGCCTTTTTTAAAAGGCCTTTTAAGTCTAATTTATGTTCCCCAAATGCTTTTGGGTGTGGGTCCATCCCTTGGATACTGGTCAACCTACCAGACAGCATACCCTTAAAGGAAACCGATCCTCCCTCTCCCCAAAGCTATTAATTGCCAGTAGATCGTCAGCTAGGGCTAGGGCTTCTTGCCCACCTCTCCCATCTGTTCTAGGTTTTTGTCTGGCTTGGGCTTGCATAGGTGTTGTGCATGCTGTCACAAGTATTGTGGGTTCGCATGTGCAACTACCTTGTGGTGTCCAGGCAACATAATTTTGTTGTACTTATTTACCACCTCTTGGTCTTACAATCTTTCTGCCCCATCTTCAACAATAATCCCTGAGCCTTGGGAGGAGGGAGTGTGATATAGGTGTCTTCATTTAGGGCTGAGCACACCATAGTCTTTTACTCTCTGAATGTTGAGCAGTTGTAGGTCTCTGTGTTAATCACCATCTACTGCCAAAAGAAGCTTCACTGATGAGGGTTGAGAGATGCACTAATCTGTGGGTATAAAATAAATCATTAGGAGTCAGTTAACTCTATGTCTGTTTAGCAGAATAAAAGTAGTAAAATTCACTGTGACCTGTCTAGTCACAGGTCCTTGGCCCTGATAACAGTGCCAGGTATGGACTCTACTTGGTGAAGTGAGTCTTAAATCCAAGCAAAATTTGGTCACTCCCATAACATTCATGTTATTATTGCACTGGTGGGCATATCTTACCAGGCCAATCATTGTAAGTCACAGGGTTCACAGCAGTAAGACAAGTGAAGGAGATAAAGGGATACAAATTGGAAAGGAAGAAGTTCAAGTGT